AGATCACTTAATGGATCCTATGCCTATGCCTGGTATTTAATACTAGAATAAATGAGCTCAATGGATTTTTTTATTTTCCTCAAATATATTTGTAAAATACTGAGTTTTAAAAAAGAGATTCAAGTGTTCTTTGTTGCTAGACATCTCAGAACTGTTTTGCATGCTCACATGAGTCAGGACACTTCTGAGTGTATAGAACACAGACACCACAGACCCAGACCTCTCAGACTGACAGCGCTGGAAGAGCACTGTTCCAGAGAACACAGTGTGGGGAATGCTGGGCTTGTATGTTACTGCCAGAAAAATAGCTTAAATTATTTCTTGCAAATCATCAAAACTTTAAAACTCACAAACTTTCAAAATTGTACAAAATTGAATAGTTGTTCCATTTTCATAGAAAAGAGCCAAGCAAATTGTAGATGGGACAACTTTGTCTCATGAACAATGTGATAGTTTACTTTAAAAATTTTTTCCTCTCAAATTATTTGCACTGTGGAATCATCTGTGGGGCTTCAAAACTACTGATTCCTTGGTCCTACCACTAGAAATTGTGATTTAATTGGGAAGTTTTGAAATATCCCCAAGTGATTCTAATATGCAGATACTTTTGGGAACCACTCCTGCTAACAGGAATCTCTTTTTGTTATGATCTGTTCTCTGTCCCGGATCTATAATATTTAAAAACAATTTCCTCCTTTTTTAAAATTAAGAATCATTATTTGGATACTGAATGGTTATTTATTCATCAAATGTTGATGTGCTTGGTATTTGTTGCCATATCGTTGTGATATCATGTTTATCCCATTAATTGTCAATACAAATGACTAGTATAATGGAAATCTGCTTTTAAAAGTAAGTGGATACTTAGGTTAACTAAATTATTAATAAAATCCAAAAACAAATTATTAATAACATCATTCACTAATAGAGTCTCTAAAAATATCTAAGAGTCCTTTAGCCAAGATAATGAAATTTTATTAGCCACTTAATTTGTTAGAATCAGCTAGTAGCATTTATAATTCACTAGACATTGGCCTGAGAGAGGAGCAATGCTCATGAATAGTGTGCCCTTTAAGAGCACAGAACCTCCATGTGGAAACCAAGATGTCTTCAAGAACTGTATGAATTTGATAAAATCTATGATATCAGCAGCTGATTATTGGGCACATCCCAGGCACTGTTCTAGGCACTGGGGATATACTGGTAAAATAAGAAATTCCTATACAGCCTAAATTGTAATGGAAGGAGAATGATGATAAGTTTATAAAAGTAATATAGTTGCCGAGACTGATAAACCTTTAAAATAATCAGGTAGGGTAAGGTCATAGAGAATGATAGAAAACAGGGTGGAGAGCTGCAGTGGTTGAGTGTGTGGTAAACCTCTGAGAGGAGGTGATGCTTGAACCATCTAAGTCAGCGGTTCTCAACCTGCGGGTCACGACCCCTTTGGCGGTCGAACGACCCTTTCACAGGGGTCGCCTAAGACCATCCTGCGTATCAGATATTTACATTACGATTCATAACAGTGGCAACATTACAGTTATGAAGTAGCAACGAAAATAATTTTATGGTTGGGTCACAACATGGGGAACTGTATTTGAAGGGCCAGAGGTTGAGAACCACTGGTCTAAGTGAAGGGAAGGAGAAGGCCATGGACTATCTGCAACCAGAGTGGCCCAGGCTGTGGGAACAGCCAGAGCAGTAGCTGGTACGGTAGCAGGTGATACCTCTGAGTAGCAGCAGGAGTATAACAGCATGAAACGTAGAGAAAGAGACGAGGGCAGAGAGGCAGGCGAGAGCCAGGTGATAAATGCCGCACCTCATAAGCCATCGCCAGGTGTTGTTTTTCTAAGTGTTCCGGAAAGCCTGGGAAGTGCTATGGCCCAATTTACATTTAAAGAGATAAATTTGGGCTGATATATGAAGAGAAAATTATACGAAGGCAAGGTAAAAGCAGGAAGACAGGAAGCTACAGCAGTGGTCCAGGCAAGAGTTGATGGTGAAGCAGAGAGGTGGCAAGTGAGATAGTGGGAGTTTTGATGCCGAAGTGATGTAGATGCTATCCCACAAAAGGATTTGCTAATGGAGTTTGGCCTTTAGGACACCTAACACATAGAGGCAGGTAATCAAAAAGTTACAATCAGAAGAGTTTTATAATCCATGGTTGAAGCTAGAATTAAAGGTAGAATTAATGCTCATTATATATAAATTCTTTTCTATGTAATAGAAATACTTTACTTTATTAAGCCATTCTTTTTTATAGAAGAAAACTGGTGTTTTTTTTTAACAACTTTGGAAATCTGAATTATCCTATTTTTTCTTTACTCTTTCAATCATGAGAATCCAGAATCACCAAAATAATAACTTTCAGTAAAACTTATAGAGGTGGGCAGAAACAGTTTAAGATTGTCACTGTATGAGTAATTTAACCAGAAGTTATGGTTGGAGAGGTGAGAATTCTTCTGTTACTTTGGTCTACTTACCTCTATGTCTAGATCGATGATTCTTCCACCTGCAGGGGGAGGAGTGAGAGGACTAACTCTCCTCTCCATCCTATTCTGTTATCTTTCTCCACTCTCCCCTACCTTTTCCATCCCACTCGTGCCGACATACCTCTTGGTCAATCAGCATCACTGTATCATCCGATGTACATGCTTGTTGGGTCATGGGAGAGGGGAAGTGGTTTGATTAGCACTTCCATTTTTCTATTAGACATTGTAGATAAACATAGTAAAAAAGAACAAAGATTTAGGAGCCACACGTTTAAATTCTGTCCACTAATTCTGAGCTTCATGATTTAGGGCAACATATTTCATTGATATGAGCCTCTACCGCCTCATCTGTAAAATGTAATGATTTCTAACTTTAAATGAGGTTAATTGTGATTATGAATGTAAAGTACTAGAATACAGTTGATACTCAATAAACAATAGCAATTATAATGACAACTACATTTTCCCAGAAGTTTTCATATATTTAATATAATATTTTAAGAGCAAAGACATTCAAGTCAGGCTACCTTATACTGCATATAAGATTTGTGGCTTTGTATATATTTTTGAACCTTGCTTCTACTTTGTTTCCTCATCCATAATTGGTTAAAATAAAAAATATTAGGGTAAAGGAAGTCAAATATATGGTGACGGAAGAAGATTTGACTTTGGATGGTAAACACACAATGAAATATACACATGATGTATCATACAACTGTACACTTGAAACCTATATAATTTTGATAACCAAAGTCACTCCAATAAATTTAATGAAGAAATGTTTGAAAAAATATCAACTCTATTGGATTGTAGTGAGGATTAAAGAGCATCTCTATATATAAACGCTTAAGCGACAGGACGACCAGACGACCGGATGACTGGACAGTAGCTATGACATACACTGACCACCAGGGGGCAGACACTCAATGTAGGAGCTCAGTTGACAGACGGGCGCCAGACTCCGGGCTCACGGCTGGTGAGCACAACTGAGGCAGCACGAACCTCTCTGGCGCGCACTCCCCCTGTACACCTGAGCAGTGGCGGCAGGCGCAGTGGGGCCAGGATGAGCGGGAGCTGCGCGGCACTCATTCCTGGCTCAGGCTCCTCTCCGGCAGCCTGCCACTTCCTGCACTACTTCGATTGATGTGGACAGAGGGCTGGAGCCCAACAAGATGGTGGATAGGCCGGGCTGCAGCGGCTCGGAGGTCCACTGATCCCCACAGCCCAGCCCGAGGGACCCCACTGATGCACGAATCTGTGCACCGGACCTCTAGTAAGGTATATAAAGACTAGATGAAAGCACAGTACTTGGAACATATAAGTATTATTTTATAAGTTAAATATTGTAAATAATAGTGTTTCAATTACTTGTTTGAAATTATAGATAAATGTGCAAGGATTGTGCCTAGGTCTTATATTTTCATTCTTCATAAATTAGGTTAGTTTGTATCATCTTAACCAGGGAGTTGTTACAATGAGTAGTGGACTTATTCTATCAGTCATAAAGTAAAAGGGATGTTTAGATATCGGCTTAATTGATTCCTATAATCATATTGTCTTATTCAGGACTTCAAAATGATAATTATCAAATACTAGAGACCCGGTGCACAAATTTGTGCACCAGTGGGGTCCCTCAGCCTGACCTGTGGGATTGGGCCAAAACCGGCTCTCCAACATCCCCCAAGGGGTCCTGGATTGCGAGAGGGTGCAGGCCAGCCTGAGGGACCCCACCAGTGCATGATCAGGGCTGGGAAGGAACGCAGGAGGTTGTCCAGCTTGGAGGGACCGTGGGAGGGCTCCAGGGCATGTCCCTGTCACTAAATCGCAATCAGCCAGACCCCAGCAACAAGCTAACATATCTGTTGGAGCATCTGCCTCCAGTGCACATCATAATGACTGGTCGACCAGTCGACTGTCTGCCCCCTGGTGGTCAGTGCACATCATAGCAAGCAGTTGAGCTGCCTTAGCATATGATTAGCATATTACGCTTTGATTGGTTGAACGGCCGACCAGCTGACCAGACACTTAGCATATGAGGCTTTTATTATATAGGATAGTTTTATTTTGAATTTAGTGTTTACTATTTTTTCTCTGACACTTTTGTTAACCTTCATAAGATCAGTTTTTCTTTTCATTCATTTCTTTTGATATGTCTTTTTACAAATCTATTTCTCTTTCACTTCCTCACTAATAAAACTTACTATGAGCTAGCAATAAGTAGAATCTGGTAGAAGTTGAGTAATCTTCAAATAGAATTTGCTGGATTTTTTTCGATTGATCTTTAGTATTATTCTGAATACTATTATTCTCAGTACTATTCCCAAATTGGTAATCTTTAGCAAATAACTGATTATTTAAGAGAAAAGCTGTGGTGCTGATGGTGTAAAGTCATTTATTTTTGCATATTAATTATGCTGTAATATTACTTTTATTATTGACATCAATCCAAAGATAACACTAATCTCATTAGGTGAACTTTACCTTCTGGCTCTTTTTCCCATTTTATAGCTGGCTTGAGTCCTGCTGAGATTCAGCAGTTGTGGAAAGAAGTGACTGGAGTTCACAGCATGGAAGACAATGGCATCAAACACGGAGGGCTCGACCTCACTACTAACAACTCCTCCTTGACTACCTCCCCCACCACTTCCAAAGCCTCACCACCAATAACCCATCACTCCATGGTGAATGGACAGTCTTCAGTCCTAAACACAAGGCGGGACAGGTACATCTCATGAGATTTATCTTAAACTTATCTTTCACCAAAGTTTACTTTCACTGTCGATTAAAACTAAAAATTATGATTTGTGCTAACAAAGGGAAAATGTATAAAACAGCAAATTAAATGGAAACCTTTAGATTATTTGTCTTACACATTTTTTTAATTTCAAAAAGCAGTTTAAATACTAGCAGTTTTATGACTACAGTGGTAATTTACCTGAAAAATGTTATTTTTAATAAGTGCATGTGGAATTATCATGTTGATATATTTTATTACTAAGATGTTGTTATTAACCTGAATTCCATCAGAACATTTTACCATTTTTTAACTTAACCAGTTTCACACATCATATAGATACATATTTTTATTGATTTTAGAGAGGAAAAGGAGAGAGAGAGAGAGAGAGAGAGAGAGAGAGAGATGATGGGATTTATAAATATGTAAAAATAAACTTATGCTGATAATTTTCTGAATAAATTTGACTCAAAATTTGTAAGTTAAAAATTATTTTAAGTTACCAACATTGAGTACATTATGTCAGACTAGAGGCCCAGTGCATGAAATTTGTGCACCGGGGGTGGGTATCTGTCAGCCCAGCCTGTGCCTTCTCGCAGTCTGGGACACCTTGGGGGATGTCTGATTGCCTAAACTGGCAGTCGGTCGGACATCCCCTGAGGGATGTAGCAGTGTGCCAAGCAGCAGGCGGCCAGGGAGGAGCCCGAATCGGGGCCAGGTGTCGCTTGCACTCATCCCAGCCCACTGCACCTGCTGCCATGGAGTCGGGAGAGGCTCCCGCCATGGCAGCTGTGCTCGCCAGCCATGAGCCCAGATTCTGGCTGAGTGACGCTCCCTCTGTGGGAGCACACTGACCACCAGGGGGCAGCTCCTGCATTGAGCTTCTGCCCCCTGGTGCTCAGTGTACATCATAGGGACCAGTCATTCTGGTCCTGCTATAACGGTCACTTAGGCTTTTATTATATAGGCTAGAGGCCCAGTGCACGAATTTGTGCACCAGTGGGGTCCCTCGGCCTGGCCTGTGGGATCAGGCCAAAACCAGCTCTCCGACATCCCCCGAGGGGTCCCAGATTGTGCAATGGCTCAAACCAGGCCAAGGGACCCCACCGGTGCATGATCAGGGCCAAGGAGGGATGTGGGAGGTTGGCCATCCAGGGAGGGACCGTGGGAAGGTTCCAGGGTGTGCCTGGTCCATCTTGCTCAGTCCTCATTGACCAGATCCCAGCAGCAAGCTAACCTACCGGTTGTAGCGTCTGCCCACTAGTAGTCAGTGCACGTCATAGTGACTGGTCGACCAGTCGGAGTGTCTGCCCCCTGGTGGTCAGTGCACATCATAGCGACTGGTTGACTGGTCGACTATCTGTCCCCTGGTGGTCAGTGCACATCATAGCAAGTGGTTGAGCGGCCTTAGCATATCATTAGCACAGTATGCTTTGATTGGTTGAACAGCCAACCGTCGACCGAACACTTAGCATATTAGGCTTTTATTATATAGAATAATTTTTAAAGTTACTGTTTTACTTTAGTTGTATAAAGACTGCCTTTGTAAGAGGAGTACCCATGCACTTTTGTCCATATAGTTCCATTTATTCAGGGATATGCATACCTATTCAAGGCCTTTAAAGTAATTTACATGAAATATGTAAGCTAAAATATTTCTCAACATGAAAAGTATCTTTTTAAAAGGTGAGACATAAGTGCAAGATTTCTTAAAGGGCTGAGACATATATGATATATAGTTTTCAAATTAAAGTGTAGTAGAAATATAGTGTTGTTTAGTAGAATACAAATATCTGCCTAGCTGCAACAGATATCCTATATAATAAAAGGCTAATATGCAAATAGACCAAACAGCAGAACAACCAAACAACCAGTCGCTATGACGTGCACTGACCACCAGGGGGCATGTGCGGAACATGGCGGGCGCTGGTCGCAGGTGGAGCATATGAGACCAATGCGGGGTGCCAGTTGCTGTCATCAGGGCGTGCCTCTGGTGGTTACTGAAAATTCTTTGCTCCCGCACGCCATGGTCCTGTCCAGCACTTGCACCTGCTGCTGGCGCTGGAGCCACCGCTCACACCCACTGCCAGTCCCAATCACTTGGCGCCATCAGTGGGTGCAAGCGGCAGCTGCCAGCCCTGATTGCTCCTGAGAGCTTCTCCACCTCCCCCTGTTCCTGAAGGGCGATCGGGGCAGCAGCTGCCACTCACACCCACTGACAGCGCCTGCCCCACTTACACCCGCTGCTGGCACTGGCCCCAATCGCACCTTCGATGGGTGCGAGTGGGGCCAGCATTGTCAGTGCGTGGGAGTGGTGGTGGTGGGAGCAGAGCTGCCCATGGACAGGTGACCGGGGACATGGAGGGAGGGGCTAGGTGGGTGTGCAGGGGATGGGCCGAGACCCACCCCTGCTCCCACAGTTCCTTTCAAGGTGCACGAATTTGTGCACTGGGCCCCTAGTTTTTTTTTCATAAAAATGTTTTTTTCAAAGACACATTTAATTACAGTAAGTTTAAAATAGAATGTTATCATTTGGTGATGTTTTTGAGTATCATGAAAACTTTTTCTTGTTAGCTTGCATTAATATAAAATGATATTCCTCAGAATGCTTTTTATAAAGCATTAAATTAAATGCTTGTTTTAATTGAGATTAATTTGTTGATTGTATATTTCAGAAGTTGGTTGATTTCTCTAGGACAGCGGTTCTCAACCTGTGGGTCACCAACCTGTGGGTCGTGACCCCTTTGGGGGTTGAACGACCCTTTCACAGGGGTCGCCTAAGACCATCGGAAAACACATATATAATTACATATTGTTTTTGTGATTAATCACTATGCTTTAATTATGTTCAATTTGTAACAATGAAAATACATCCTGCATATCAGATATTTACATTACGACTCATAACAGTAAAAAAATTACAGTTATGAAGTCGCAACGAAAATAATTTTATGGTTGGGGGTCACCACAATATGAGGAACTGTATTAAAGGGTCACGGCATTAGGATGGTTGAAAACCACTGTTCTAGGATCTCTCTATCTGATATAATACATATCTAAGTAGCATTTTTTTAAATCAGCTGTTACTAGTAGACATATAGATGGTTCACATGTATATATTGAACAATTTAAATGTCCTAATGCTCTTCTTTAAAAAGAGTATTTTAAAAATCTTATTATTCTCTTAAAAATACAGGTGGTTTTTTTTCCCCACTTGACCACCTATGAATAAATATATATATTTCTTTAGTGGTAAATGTTACATTAAGGTCATATGGCAGGATTAGCATATGATATTATGCAGTCCTCTCGGTTTTTCATCCTTTATTAACAGTTGTCTTTGGTTCTATTTCCCATCTAATTGGAACATCATCTAGCCTTGGCAGTTGAACTATTCAGTAGAACGATTAAATTTTCCTGAGTGCTCTGAGCTGAATTGACCTGTTTTGACCTGTTTGTCACTGGGTGTAACCTGACAGGCTCGAGCAGTCTGCAACGATTATGGCTTTGTGAGATGAATCTGATGCCTGTTCCTTTGCTACAGCTCATCACATGAGGAGACTGGAGCCTCTCACACTCTCTATGGCCATGGAGTTTGCAAATGGCCCGGCTGTGAAAGCATTTGTGAAGATTTTGGACAGTTTTTAAAGTATGTGTTTAACTTTTTTTTAGGGGTGAAAGTGGGTTAATGGGAGTTATACGCACATTGTTTTACAGAAACAAAAGGTCTGTGGTGAGGGATACTAAGTTTTCTTTGTTTCAACAAGTGGATCAGCAAAGTCAGATGAAGAAGTTTAACTGTTCATCTTTTCTTTTCATGAGAAAATTTACAAATCATTCAATAAAGTTTTTTTTGTTGTTGTTTTTGTTTTTTGGGGGTTTTTTTGTTTTTTGTTTTTTTGCTTTTTGTTCTTTTTAATCCTCACCCAAGGATATTTTCCCATTGATTTTTAGAGAGAGTGGAAGAGAGAGAGGGAAAGACAGAGAGGAATATCGATGTGGGAGAAACACATCGCTTGGTTGTCTCCTGCACACACCCAAACCAGGGCCTGGGCTGGGGAGGAGACTGCAACCAAGGTATGTGACCTTGACTGGAATTGAACCCAGGACCCTTCAGTCCACAGGTTGACATTCTATCCACTGAGCAAAACCAACTAGGGCCAATAGAGGTTTTTGAATGAATGAAAAACATTAGCCTACTATAACAGCATCATTAATAATTGGGACATCTGCTTGCAGGGTTCACTAAAATTTCAGTTTTTAATAAAAATTTCAAGTAAAACTATATGAGGAGTCATATTATATATGTGTATTTTAAACATATATATTTTATAGTTTTATTTTTTCATTGCAAACTTTATATTTCTTAATTTAAATAATAATATTTAAGATGTATATTTAACAAATGTATATAAAAATAAAAAACTTTAAGTTAAAAGGAGCTAAAATTTTAAGATATTTATGTTTTATCCACATTGACACTTGTTGCCCCCAGCATCATAAAGAAACATACATGGTTGTATGTATGTATGATGGTTTGTATGGCTTCTCTAGCTTAAAATTAAAATTTGAAATATCTTTACTTTTTTCATACAGTGACAATTTATTATTGACTTTTTAAAAGGTTCTTTTTCAAATGAGAATATGCATTTTTCATGACCATTTTCCATGCACAATTCCAGTGTATGAGTTCTAAACAGAGCTGCAGATAGATTTATGGAGATGAGTAACTTCACAGGCTGAGACTCTTATGTTGTCATGGAGCAGCTAACAGGGTGAATGAACTGTTTCATGCTTCATCAACAATTAAGTTAATTAGCTCATTTGAAATCGCACTGCTATTTTGCCAGGATGTTGGCAGAAACATCAGAAAGATGTGTTTACAAATGGCAGACTACAGGGTATAGAGAAAAGGCATCGTAACAACAAGGCACACATACTTGATATCAGAATAACTTTATAACTTCTACAAGGATTTTGTAAAACATTTTTTTTATTACTGACCACTTGAAAGGAAATATGCTTCCTATACTGCTGTGACTTTTTTAAATGTCCTGAAATGAATATTTGCACTCCTATTATATCAAAACTAGGGGCCTGGTGCACAAAATCATGCATTAAGGGGGTTCCTCAGCCTGGCCTGCACCCTCTCGCAGTCCGGGAGCCCTCCGGAGATGTCCAACTGACGGCTTAGGCCCACTCTCTGCAGGAAGCAGGCCTAAGCTGGCAGTCAGACATCCTTAGCACTGCCGCGGAGGCGGGAGAGGCTCCCACCACCGTCGCTGAGCTCGCCAGCCATGAGCCCAGCTGGCTGAGTGGCGCTCCTGAGCATCTGCCCCCTGGTGGTCAGTGTGTGTCATAGTGACTGGTCGTTCTGCCATTCAGTTGATTTGCATATTAGCCTTTTATTATATAGGATAGTTGTGAGCTGTCATTGTGTTGGGTATGAAACTGATTTGAGTGTTCTAAGCAGAGAGCATTTAAAATGTTAGGTAACTTTGCTAAAGTTTTCCTGTTTTGGAAAAATAACATTTGCTAAAACAAAGATAGAATATAGGAATATTAATTTTTTTTAAGAACTAATTTCTTCATTTGGGTATATAAGTCCTTATCAATATTATTTCTTATCATTAAGATTAGTTACAGGACTAATGCTATTTCTTCAATATGATAATTTAAACCATAGAATCAGCCCAGTCACCATACATTTTATTGCTTCAAGTTATTCTATCTGACAAAACTCAAAATAAATCTTTAAGAAAATACCATATATTTTCTTCAGAATGACTTTCTTTATAGCACATGGAAAGGAGCATTTTTATTTATCTTAAATACTTATATATATTTTATTACTAACAAGAAGATGAATAGGAACCCTCATTTTACCTTTCATGTTTCTTTATTATAATCATACTAGTATTTTTTAGACTGAAGAATTACAAGTTGGAAAGCATTTTCTTTCAATTAAATATCAACTTTGGTTCCAAAGACTGACCATTTTTCCGACCCATTAAATTTATAGGGATGACAGGACAAATGACAGCAGATTTTAAGGCCTTTCTGTTAGTTCATTTTTTTATGATATGCTTTAAATTCCCTAAACCACAGATCTGTGATAATTTCTGTTAATAGAGCTAATGCCAGTGTACTGTACTGAAATGAAATATTAATAAGACATATTTCCATACTGATGTTTTTTTTCTTAAAATATGTGTAAATTTTAAGAGAAATAAAATAATAATTTTATTAAATTAATTTCAGTTTATTTAGTGACTTTGTAGAAAATGAAATGAAGAAGGCATCACCACTAATAAAGATTTTCTTGAAATGAAGATTTTGCTTTTCTTTTGTAATCATGGAGAGAATTGAGTCTTGGACAAAAAAGTCAAACAAGTCAAAAAACTATGAAAGGATGAAAGGTTTTTAGCTCTCCGTTTTCTTGTTTATCCATTCTCTGGGAATTTTATAGCCAGTGTTTTTACAAAAGTTTTTTTTTAAGAAAATATTGTGGCATTTTTATTTCTAAAATGCACTAGAAATAAACTATATAGCTTGAACTTTACTTTGGTATCAGACAACTTATTCATTAGTTTGAAATCAAGTAAACTATCCATTATTACTACTTAGCCTACATATGTTAAATAACAAATAATAAAAGAAATTATATTGAATCCCAAATTCCCTTTCTTACATTACTTTCCCAAGTTGGTAGAATCACTCACTGCTTTTACCCAGGATCAAATAAAAAGCCACCAGAAGAGAGTTGCATATATAGATATGTATGTACATATATATGTACATACATGGTTATATATGTACATACATGATTTTAATATTTAATATTAATTCAATTGAGACATTATTTTCTATTGCATAAAAAACCTTAAGATTAAATTAGAAACTTTTATTTGTAATAGCCAAATAAAAGCAGGAAATAAAAAGATGAAGAAGAAAATTTAGGCTAAAAAGGTATTTAGAAAAAATTTTGAATTTTTCTGTAAAGTAGGTGTTGACAGAAGCTTATCATTTTTCTGAGCAATAATTGAAGACTTTACTAGATCACCAAAACCATTTAATATTAGTTCTTCATTACTTTCTTATAAATGTCACAGTGTGATAACAACTGACAAAACTTGTGTAGTTAGCCTGCAAATTTATCATTCCACTGGACCTAAGTCAGTTGGAATATAGATGGATTGACTTTTAGATCTTAATCCAAAAGGTTTGCAATATCGCATTCCAGTTAGCAGACAAGTGCTCCTGAACTTGCATGCGTAGATGCCAGCAAACAAAACATGGTCTGAGATACGAAGATGGATATACTCCTTTTGAAGAAGGGCAGACTGGTTAGTGCCATAAAAATATCAATCTGTTAAAGAGTAATTAGTTGATAATAAATGAATCAGGTTTATTTACAAAGGCTAAATTTTTAAGTCTTGACACTGTATAAAGAACAATAGAAAACGTAGTGGAAATAGTTTATTTAATGGAAAATATGTTGTCTTTTTTTTTCTGGTAGCTGACTAGAAATTGTGCTTTTGCTTAGTGTGTATTGTCTATTTCTTTGTCTTTGACTAGGCAGCATGGCTACAAAATTATGACCTCAAGAAAGCATGCTTTGAACTTGTCAGAATGTTGTTTCTTTTGGTGACAGTGCCCCCATCTCTCAAAACTAAGGCATCTCACATAATCAGCTAAATGAATAGTGACAGCTAACATTTTGTATTTAAACTCCTGTCAGTGTTTAAACATAAAAAGCTTGATGCAAAATAAATCAAACACAGTGATTTGCAAGTGAAACATTTTGTACAAAAAAAGTCCAACATGGTTGGATTAAATCTGATCTCTTTTTAGCTTATAGAATACTATAACTTTAAATGAATTTGAAAAATCTAGAGTTTAAAATTGAATTGCTAATCTGCTGTGTATATAACCGAAGTTACCACATGTGTTTATAACCTTAAAAGCTTCGTTAAAGAGAATTGTGCATGAAATATGTTGGACGGGCCCTTTTCTACTTTTCATCTTTCTGAAGTGCTTGCTTCACTGTTTTTAGAAAGAATTTGACTGCCTACTTACATTTTTTTCAGTCCCCACTACCTACCTAGCACACAGATTCAATGCAGTTTTGAAAGAACGTCAGTAGACCACATCGTTTATTCCATTTTGAAAACAAAAATCAATATACCTATAAAGTGACCTATAAATTAGAGCTGGCTCACACAATGTTTGTTCAGTGCTGCCTTTCTGAATGCACCCTTTGCATTTTTTCTTCACCTCTGTGTTTGAACTGCAGTCTCGGTAAGAAGCTCATTAGGGGACATTAGGGACTGGAGCTAACCAGAATTCCAGAGCTTGCTTTGCTCTTATTAATGCATAGTAGAGTAGAATGCATTTAAATATTTCATAGATATTCAGTAATTTGTGTGTAATCGTCTTGTTAGCAGACCAGTAGAAGTAGAACAGGCCTGTGAAATGGTGTTAGTGATTGCATGTGTAATTTACAGACCTTTGCCATCAGAAACCGTATTATTGTTGGCTAGTATGAAGCTGTGAAATAGAACTACCGATAAGTAAAAAAAAGAAACTTAATAAAGGTTTTGTAACAAGCATCTTCAGGGATAACAACCCCACTTGGTCATTTTGAAGCAGCTATAATTTATGACATAGGCAATATATCAAATGCATAAGATAGTATTATGGAGCATTCATATGAAAAGGGTATTTGCAACATTAGTTCCAACTTCCTGCAAGGGACATGATTAAATGATTAATGAAATGTCCCTTTGCATATGCATTTTGAAACAGCAATTAGGCACTGACTGAGAAAAATCCACCAATCCTCTCATTTTTCAGTATTATCTCATTCTTGATTTATAAATCATAGAGAATTTTTGAACAGCAATATGTAGTACCTGAGATAGTTATAAAAGCATAAAAGAGAATAATTTGGGCACAAAATAGTCACAAACACATACATTCATAATTTAATATTAATATTCAGCCTATTTAGTTAGTCTTAGTACATTGTATTTATATCCAACACTATTTCTGTACTTTGATTGGCATAATTAAGTAGGGAGAATGAATAGGCACTATTATTTTACATATCACTGGTAAACAATAGCAACGAAAGGAGAAGGGAGATGTGGCAGAGGTATGTATGTGTTTTTCAAGTTCTCAGTAATCCACTGGAGGCTGTTCTATAAATGATCATCGAAGGGCTGCAAGCTAGCCTATAATTACAGGAAAGAAAGTGGCAGCTCTGGCATTTCATAACTATGTGTCCTCGAAAAGTGCTTTGTGAGTTTGTCACCAATGATAATTTAGATAGAGGCTCATTACTGAACATCACAACACTTTAAAAACCTTTCGCCTTCATACAGGAGAATAAAGGACTATTTTAATGACAAGGTTCTTTTGTGTCCCACTGAAAAATTCAATCAAGACAAAACCTCATTGACTATTATTGTAGTCTATAGTCTCTATTCTAATAAGAGCTGTATAGATAAATTGAATAGGTTTCTAAGACCCAGATATATAATGCAAACATTTTATACATTTTTTTAGTTCTTTAAGTATAGGATAATTATCACTAAGATGTACACAAGTGTTAAAAAAAAACCTCTCTAAAAGTGATTTTATGCAAAAACAAACATGTTCTACAGCATATATCTTTTCTTATGAAACTGTGTATTCTACTTATCATGTTCCATTTACATTCTAGTCTTTGTGTATAGCTACAGCATTTTTTTAAAACATATTCCTCGTTTAGACTGATTGTGGAATAAATATGTGCATATTCTCCAAGAGTTCATAGTGAAAAAAAACACCATAAGAAAAATACAACAATATTAAAGTTAAGAGTACAGTGACCATTGTAGTACACTGATAGAACACGATCTCATTGTTCATTAAAATTTTGGTGAAAACACTGAAAAACAACTTTTTTAAAGGTCTCGTTAATTAGGAATTAGTGACACTTTACATCATAAGCTCACCTCCAGTTTAACATTTCATGCCTCCTTTCAAGGAAGAGTGAGTGAATTTTAGTTGCGTTACAATTAGGTTCACAGGAGAACTGAGCAGAGCTGAGCTGAGGGCAGAGAGGGATAGTGGAGGTGCCACTGCTGCGGTCTAACCCCACACCTCAGACCTGACCTGATGCACTTCACTCTTTTAGTCCACAGTTTCCCTTCAACCAGGAGTGACAATTGTGACAAGATACATGGAAGTTAGTTGTTATGATCAGTGAGGATGTATTAAAACGAATGGATTTAATTTTTCAAGGGAAGGGGCGGAATAGAACAAAGGTTTCCAATTGCTGAACCTAGATCAACTAACAAATAAACCCACCTATTTATAAAGTTGTTCTTTCTCAGAAACACCATTTCAAATCTTCTAGTAATGTGTTGCATATGTATCTATCTATTTTCTTCATTATTCATTTCAAGAAACTTTTGTTGGTATAGTTTCAAGGTGTTCCTTTTGCCCTACTGTGCAGGGAACTATGACTTCAGGGTAGTGCGTTCGAAGTGGAGCATATACTACTGAGACACACATCGTTTAACTTTCTGTTTTGCGTCTTGTGTTTGTTTAGGCACCTTAACAATGAGCATGCGTTGGATGACCGGAGCACTGCCCAGTGCCGAGTGCAAATGCAGGTGGTCCAACAGTTAGAAATACAGGTTTGTCAAATGCTAACTTAATGGACTCCTCTCTCATATATCTGGTGGGTTACATTGAGTACTGGGCACATTCTGAGTCTTTTAACACAATGCCTAATAGAAATACATGGAATTTTAGATTGTTTATAATGATGGCAACAATTGATAACTCGGGATGGAAGGATAGATATAGCTTAAAGTACGTATCACGTAGACATATAACCTTTAAATTACATAATCTATATTTGAATATCCAAAAAGAGTCCAATCTCAGTTTTCCCCCATTGTGGTTATACCAACCCAACCCCAATTGGATATGATTTTATTGCGGAGACAGTTTTTACATGAACTAATCGTGATTTTTTCCCCATTAGATTGTATCGTATAGCAAAAATCTTTATAGCATCATGCCTGTAGCATATTACTCTGAGAAGAACCTTTTCCTTTTCTATCTTTGGTGTCTTTTTAATTAAAGAACTTGCAAAAAAATTTTAAGACTTGTCTGTACTGGAGTTATGACTGCAAATAATTTATAATATCACAGATAGTAATGTATTGTATCAAGTACTGCTAATTTAAGTTAAAACATTTTAGTTACTATTGAAACAGCATTTAGACAAAAATAAATAGAACTCATAAAACAGGTCAGAAGCAGTTATTTCACTGTATCATTCTTACTACCCTTGCCCTACCCTTTAAGGCTTCTTCCAGTGTTTCAACTTAAAGATGTTTTTTCCCCCTCAATCAGACCCATACTTTGTGTTATTGAATTAAACATACAATTTATTTTTTTCTTCACACTTTACTACATCTTGATGTGCTTTAAACTCATCGTGTTGTAGCTTTTTCCCAGAGAGCTGTGAAACATGTTTATTTTGACTTGTAAAATAATCAAGGACACATCACAAGCATAATTAGTGATGTCGTTTGAAAAAAAACTTTCTGTAAACCTGTTTACCACCTAGAAAAGGTGGAGAAAAACATAAAAGTTCAGCTGATGAAGACACAGTCTGCAGTGTGACCAATTATGTCTTTTTCTTTTTTTCTTTTCTGCCGTGTCTGACTGATGGAAAAGTAAGGTCCGTCACTTGTAATGAGACCCAGTGCAAGTATAGAAGCCGACGCCGTGGCAGAGTTCAGCGTCTCACACTGCCTGGTCTCTGTCACTCTATTGAATTAGATTGATGATGGCAGATTGGAGGGGGCACTAACTGGACCTCAGTGGGAATGCATGAAGTGTGGAGACAACCCTGGCAGGCACTTTGCTTTGAGAACCCTTCACCCCTTCACAGCTGTTGGCACTAGTCCATCGCTAACAGTGTCCACAGGACTTTAAAGAGACACCATGGGTCTTCTAATTTATGGTTTTAGTAACTTGTTACTGTCAAGACAACTGTGACCTCAATTCTCTTATTGACAAAAAGATGAAGTGTTATTTGTTTTCTCTGACCTTTTAACATAAGGAAAAGCTATCCATGTTTTCTTCCCCCCTTCCTAGCTAAAGTTGCGCTGCCTCCCAGATAAGTTCCTACGGACACAGACTTTTGTATGCAGGAATCATTACTCTGAGACAAGCTCAATGATAAGATGTATCACTGCAATAAAATAGCTGTATCAGTCATTTCTAAAATGCTTCTGATCTCACTCGTTCTTAACAGCTTTCTAAAGAACGAGAACGTCTTCAAGCGATGATGACCCACTTGCACATGCGACCCTCAGAACCCAAACCATCTCCCAAACCTGTAAGTGCATATTGCTTCATAAACAGTAAATAGCTCTACTGATGTAACAGAGTAAGAAAATGAACAATTTAGTGACAGCTAGAAAACAATGAGTGTGATGAAAAATACGGCAATAAAATGAAAGGAAAATGCAATCGCTTGTCAAATTGTATGTTTCTTTTAAAGTAATGCTATCTTTTACAAAATCTATCCAATCTGCACCATGGGTGACGCTAAACAAAGTACGCCTATCAGTGCACAAATCACTGCCTTGCGGCTGAAGCAAGAGAATATCTTTCTGAGATAGGTTTACAGATATTAACAGGAAACCCACTTTGAGCAACCTGAAAAGCAGGAACAGTCCAAATCACAAATAGAAAGGTGTGCGGTATGCCGACGAGGACTTAGATCAATCATAACATACATACAAATAGATTTTTTAATCAAATATTTTCTCAAAAATGTCATAGTCTTTTCATAGTCAATTTTCTCCCATTTCTTTGGTTGTTATTTCAGTTACGTTGTATTTCACATATTAATGTGTTTTACTAGATAGTACACATATTGTTAATTTAGACAGCTTATGACAAAGGGAAATGGCTGATTATAGAACATAATAACTGTCGTTTCCCTCAAAAATATATAAAATTGAAGCCCCACCTGATAATGTTGTCAGGTACACAGACTGTTGAAAAGAATATACTTTACCTCACTGCAAATATTTGCTCAGAAACTTGGAGTACTCAGCTGGGTAACTGGTTTAGTGAAAGTTTGGGGGCTATGCTTTAGTAAGCCTCCTGTATAGACTGGTGATTAGTGAATACCAGCTTTGACTCTCCCTCCATTTCTTCAAGAAAAAAAAAAGATCATTTGGTTTTGTAGTAGAAGGAAAGATAAAAGACAGGCTACACTGTATGAGTTTTCTCCTAGTATCTCTGACACCACTCATTGATTAATATTATTCAAAATTTACTTTTTTGCATAAAGAACATGTTTCCTTAAACTCTGCTAAGGTATTAGAGGTGTTTTTCTTTGTACTACATTTAAGTGTAGGGTATTGCAAAAACACATTTTAATAGAAAGAAAGGAAAAATGTATCATTTGAATCTGACATATTACTTTTTTAAACCTTATAGTGGCTAAGTTTTTAATTAAAAAAATAAACTTTGAAGATCTTTTTGACCCTTTATTTATGAATTTTTTCCATAAGGTTCCCCCCCCCCATCATTGCTTCTATAATATAATGTAGATAATCACAAAACAGAATAATTGTCTCATAAATCCATCAGGAATCTGCAGCTTGTTCTTTTCCAATTAATTATTCAATCAGTAAATTTTTAAAAACTCTAGCAGCATGGTTACATCTACACTAATAAAGAATTTTCAGCCTATAATCCACAACAGAACCTGAATGAATAATGTAATTGAAGTATTACATTACATAAACCACACATGAAAGAATTGCTAATTGCGTTTGATGGTGGGCAATTAATATAGAATCTTAGATGAGCGATTTAAAATGAAACCACAGTTTAAAGTTCCCTTTGGAACTGGCAATATCTGACGTGAGCAACTGCACTACTGGCCTCGAATTGGTTTCAAAGACGAGTGGTCAATACACACACCCTTAAAAATACCCTAAAGTTTATACACTGTACAAAAGAAGCTTCCAAATTGATATAATAGTAGATATTTATGGTCTCATGTGCTGTGGCTCAGTTGAGACGGCCCACACATTTGATAAATATTAATAGCAAGAATTTATTACCAAAGAGAAATGAGCTCTGTTGGTTCATCACTGCACCCTTAACAGCTATCAGTACATGAACACAAGGTGCAACCGCACTGTCTATTATATGACCCCATTTACTCTCTGAATGGTACTTCATTAAATGGTACCTTTTGGCCATGCTATGGATGGATGAAAATCAAAGTTATCAAGGCTGCGAGTCCTGAATAATGAGTTTCACCCAACCTTGACTATATTCTGATGAGCTGATGTGGCTAAGTGCTGATCCTGGCTTTTACATGCTTCCTTTTCGTTAGTAATAAATTCTATTTTATCAGTTTGTGATTGCGCACTTCCAAACACGGTACGCTTATTACGGCGGGATGGCGGGATAAGCTACCAAAACAGTGTAAACATGAGGAGTTTGCATAGAAAAAGATGTATTTCTCCTGTTTTCATAACTTTGACCATGTCCACAAAATGTTCAGGGTCCTGTCAAATATTCATCATGATAGATCTTCCCTTGATTTGCAATGTTGGCATTTTTTTTTCTGGCCTCGGAATATGACATTTTATCCTGGTTTATGATTTCTAAAAGTGACTATGTAACCATTTCACTGAGTTGGTTAAGTATGGAGAAGAGCTTTGTTGTTCTGTCTTTTTATAATTTTGCCATACAGTGATGCAATGCTGATGATAAGATCTAAATCATGACTAATTAGACATCCTGGTGTTGATTTGAAAAACATAAAATATCATTTGCAGCGTTGCACGCATAGATGCCTGTGCATCTTCCTGCACTTCTCAAACTAGAGGTATTTCTGTACATCCTGAGGAAGCTTACACCAGTGGCTTTTTTTTTGCGATTAAGACGATTTTGTTTGAATATGTAGTCAATGTATTAAATGCAGCATTTAGTAGCATTATCTCAGCTTTTATTTATGTGTGTAACAAAGAATTCCCAGCCCAGTCTGCTGGCTTAGAGTGCGAACAGAATAACAGTTTGTGGTTTATTGGGAACAGATGCACTTGGGGATGCCTTCAGGGTGCCAGTCGTTATTATTAGACTGCTAATGTGCTTCTTCTGGCTGCTGCCCAAGAAAGAAGAACAATTAGCTGGCATATGTTAATTTTTGTTTCCCTAACAAATCTCTCTACTGACTAAATGTGTAAAACAAATCCACAAAGAAAGATCAATCAATGCTGTACACATCATTTTCTCCCCATTAAAAAAAGGTTTATCTTAAGAAGCGTATTTGGGATTTGAAAAGGCAGGTGTTACTAAATTACATATAAAAGCTGAATATTCTCTATTTAGCCACTAAGCAGCGACTTCATAGAGGAGCAGAACAATTACAACTAGTTTCCTTGCTTGGTTGCATAGATTACTGCATAAAATGAAAGGTCAGTAGATTACCTCTTATGAATATCATTTGACTATATGGCAGAAATCTTTTTATGCGCTGCCCCTACGTAAAATTTTTTGCTAATTGGACGCTATTTATGACAAAGGTGTGTAGTAAATATGACAGAGATGATATGGGGTTTTTGATATGAAGAAGAGGGCTTTTCTGAGGGGAGTGATGAAGGGCACACTGTTAAACAGCTTGCATACATTCTCACCTTTTTCCTTTTTTCTACCCTGACACCCACTTTCCAGGGTACATCAGCCTTAAGTGACACTGTAATCATAAATTGAAAATGATACTTCCAGAGGAATTGGCAAACTTGACATTTCATTATATTTGTTAACACATGCCACAAATGATTGTTAGTGAGGAAATTCCATTTCCCTCTCTCCATCTCCAATCAGATTTAATTTGAAAATTTTCAGCCTCCTCCGGCTAATTTGCAATTAAGACAATTTTGTTTGAATATGTAGTAATGTCATTACCATTCCACCAAATTAGCAAGGAGACTAAAGGTCAGTGTAAAATTTTCCAGCTGACTGGAGCCTCTCAGCTGAGATTTGGGACTATGGAGGGGAAAAAAAAATCCGGGCAGCAACAGAATAGCAACTTATTTTGAATCCGATTGGCTGAAAACATGGCATCCTTCATTATTGCTGCTGCTGTTGCTTCACTGGGGGCTAGGCCTGTTTAGCAACAGGGGCAGTCGGTAATCGGCAACTGGCTTTTATTTAAGAAAATGTACTTTCCCTGAAGTCTGGCAGGACAAGAAGGAGTTAGTCCTAAGTAACATTGCCAGAGATTATTAGATAACCTCTAACAGCATCCTCTAATTAGAGTTCTTATGATACAATTTCATCCTGTAATTAGTTGAGATTGGCTGCTTCATTTTGCAGCTTATTAGTGGCAACACAGCTGTAGAAGTGAATCCACTCTCATTTGTCAAACCTTTTTAAGTCTTTTTCTCTTGTCTCTACCTTTTTCCTGCCCATCTCTTGGGCCTTTGCAGCTAAATCTGGTGTCTAGTGTCACCATGTCGAAGAACATGTTGGAGACATCCCCACAGAGCTTACCTCAAACCCCTACCACACCAACGGCCCCAGTCACCCCGATTACCCAGGGACCCTCAGTAATCACCCCAGCCAGTGTGCCCAATGTGGGAGCCATACGAAGGCGACATTCAGACAAATACAACATTCCCATGTCATCAGGTAGGATATTAATGCTCGGTAGAGCTCTTTTACTTTGGGAGAGGAAAACTGAAGCCGAAGCCACTCTAGAGGAGTCATGCCAGAGCCCATGAGGACTCAGTCATGATTTATGGAGTGATAATTGTTTTATTCCTGGTAAATGCGGAGAGGGGTGATTCCCTAAGCACATTAGGATGAATTGTTCTCAGGGGTTGTCCAGGAAAGAAAGCTCTCCCCATTAGAGCCAGCTAGAGATGTGTTGTCCAGATAGCCCGTTTCATCACCTCCATTCAAGGAGATCCTTTGATCTCCAAGGGAAGGCTACATCAGTACAGCACCTGCAAGTAACGCTGTGTGAGAAGGGCCACTGGAGACATGTGGCTTCATGCTAGACAGTTGAGGGGCTACCTAGATAACATCCTGCCACAGCTCCTCAGGTCTACATGCTGCTTAGCCTCAGATGCAGGTGAAGGTAAAGGTTGCATGGAACACAGATTGACCTCCTCCCCCTCGCTCCCCCTCCCCCTCCCCCGCACCCTTGCCCCCCGGGCATCTGGGTAATCACAGCCACACATTGTACCTATTAGTAGCTCAGAGCCCCCTTGTTACAGAAAGTGAAGTTATTTTCAATATGGGCGCTTTGAGGGGTTTGGGTTCTCTTTGTTAGGGAGCCACAGATGCCTAGAGGTCATCCTGGGGCTCTTTAAGGAGTATTAGATGAGGAAAGCAAAGTTGGGGGGGGGGGTGGGGCAAAAGTCCATGTGGGAACATGCCGAGGCCAGAAGCTTTCCAGAGGAGCTGGCTGCTGGGACAATCCCAGGCCCCCTGGTGATGCCTTCCCTGAAGGACGGCAAACAACGGGGGGGACGTGGCGTTGGCACTTTCCCTCAGAAATGGCCTTTCCCATGGAATTCAATTCCACTGTCATGCTTCGTGCCTTCTCACTGCATCACCTCACCAATACCAGGGGAAAATAGGGAACATCGATGCTATAGGCCCGACTTACCAGCAGAATTAACACCTCGTCTCTTATTTTTGTAGAGATCGCCCCAAACTACGAATTTTATAAAAATGCAGATGTCAGACCTCCATTTACGTATGC